AGTAAATGTGCTATAGATCTAAAGAGCCTAGAGCAGTGTCTTGCATTTAGTAAAGACTCAATGGATGTTAGTTATTACAGTTAATGAGCTAAAAATGATCTAGCAAACTAAAACTAACAAAAATCTGATGTCTTTGGAGTTAAAAGGCAATTTTATTTTAGAAAGGGCTTACATAATACTATAACACTCTTAAAATGCAGCTTTTTCTTAGTTTATTAGCTGAAAAATAATTGTACACAACTGAGATTATAAATATTTGAAATGATCTAAATATAAGTAGTTAACACAGAAGAAAGCATTAACCATGAATCCTACTCATGCAAAACCTGAAGAATATAAAAAGGAGACTTTTTTCTTTATAAAAGCAGTTATACATAAGTAGACCTTGAACAATTATCATAATACTATAAGGTATTGGCAGTAGTGGGAAACTGCCAGGGGAGGGGGAACACCTCATCAACAAGGGTACCCACATAATGAACATTTGTATGCCTAATCCTGAATTGTATCCCACATCTTTAAAATAAAATAAAATAAATTTTTTTTTAAAAAGCAATTATATTTTGCCAGGAGGGGGAATAGGGAAGCAAGATTGGCAGAGTCTGCCTGGGGAAGAGGGGGCATACCTCATCAACAAGGGTTCCTGCATGATGAACATTTGTATACCTAGCCCTGAATTATACCCCGCATCTTTAAAATAAATGTTTTTTTAAAAAGCAGTTATAATTTGCAAACAGCTGTGAGCATACCTCTATATGTGGATCAAGTATTCAAGCAAAAAAAATCCTTATGGGGAGATAATTTGTCTTATTACACATGAAGTTATTTGAAAGCCTATGACACTTCTGAAGTTGTCTGCTCACCTTTATAGTGGAAATGGGAGCGTTTAGATCAAACACAAGAATAAAAGGAGTTGCCAAATGGGAGATGGGAGTTGAAACAACTGAAAGAAAATTGTGCTTTATTATATGCATCAAAGAGGACATCAAATTCCATTTCCCTAAGACTTTCCCTCCTTCTTCTCATATTTAGGGTGGAAAACACAAGCCATCCACCCAACTAGCTACTTAACCTATCAGATCTCTGAACAATATCATTCACACAGATAACTCCTTGCTTCAAATGAGAAAGTCCATCCTATAAAAAATAAAAATAAATACAATACAGCTTTGTATAAACAAGATCAACATCAGAGATACAAAGAACAAAGTCAGAGAAATGTATTTCTCACAATGATTTAGGAACCCCTATTTTTTATTTGGAACTCTATAGGCCACTACTTAAGTCAATGGTTTTCTATTAGTTCAGGCTATTGCTAATGTACTAGGAGATAATGATTTGAAATACAGTGGCACTTGCATCCAAAATATACTCACAATCTATTAGTCTAGTACCCTCTATAACCACTCTTTCACCAACAATACAAGGCTCTCCAGCAGGAATTGCACATTTGCAAAGCGCTCTCCTGGTATTGACATTGCATTATGAATGATTGAGGAAAAATTACACAATCAATTTGGAAAGAAAAAAGCAGCATTTTGTCTACCCTTTCCCCATTCGGCATACCTAAATTTGATGGTCATAGTCAGTAACTATTTACTAAGTTTTTAATAAGTAACTGGCATATATGCTGGTAATAAGAACACATACACCTTGTTTGGCAAGATTTATGGGACAAGGCATAGAACATTAAAAATGTAACACATTTGTGACCCGCCTGGGCAACTTGGTGAGACCTCATCTCTACAATAAAATAAAAAATGAGCTGGGCGTGGTAGCACACGCCTTTAGTTCCAGCTACTTGGAAGGCTGAGGCGGAAGGCTGAGGCAGAAGGATCGCCGGGGCCCAGCAGGTCGAGGCTGCGGTGGCCGGGAGCAGCCACTGCACTCCAGTCTGGGTGAGAGAGTGAGACTCCAACTCAAAAAAGAAAAAACAAGTAACACAAAGTTACTAACCACTCATGTCCTAACATGACATAGGACAGGAGACACCCCCAACAAGAGTGAGCACCTTGGGAGAGGACTATTCTACAGCCCTCCATAGAAAAGGGAGTATGGGCCTCTGGGGTGGCTTTGAGCCCAGGTGGGCACAGAAAAATATAATGTCCATCTACACTCTTTTAATGGTTTCCCATATTTCACCACCCCCATTCTCATTCATCTAGCCTATTTGGAAGATGAGATAACAAAGAGAGAGATCATCTGAATGAGAATGAATTTCAACAGGGGAGAGAGCAGCACACAGATGTTTCAAGACCTCATGCTATTGCATTCCTGGAAAAGTGGACAACCAAATGCTGTGCTTTATCGGAAAGGAGATACAAATTCAAACCTTACAGAAAAATCAAAATTAATAGGGACCAAAAAAACACCTTTCACATTAATGAAAAAAAGTATATATTATGGTCACTGATCCTCATGAACACAATGCTTCATCTGATAGATTTTTACTTGTCTCATTTTAGATTTTCACAGAACTCTGTCACATTCAAATGTTCAAGTGACTTAATAATTAATGACTTAAAACTTTAGTATTTTTTATCAAAATGTTCTTTACCTTATCAAACTTTGATAAGGTAAACAAGAAGAAGATGTTTTCAGCAATAAAGGAGAACTGACCCTGGAATGTATTCGATCAAATTTTCCCAGCCTGGCCGGGCTTGGTGTCTCAGCCTGTAATCCCACCGCTTTGGGAGGCCGAGGTGAGTAGATTGTCTGAGCCCGCGGGTTTGAGACCCGCCTGGGCAATTTGGTGAGACCTCATCTCTACAATAAATCAAAAATTAGCCGGGCGTGGTAGCGCACACCTGTAGTTCCAGCTACTTGGAAGGCTGAGGCGGAAGGATCGCCGGAGCCCAGCAGGTCGAGGCTGTGGTGGCCGGGATCAGCCATTGCACTCCAGTCTGGGTGACAGAGTGGGACTCCAACACAAAAAATAAAAATAAAAAATAAAAAATTTTCCCAGCCCCAAAGATAGCCTTAATAGCTTGGAGCAGAATCTTGAACTATATGATCCAGAACAAGTCAAGAAAAACCTATAAAAAGGGATGGACCAGGTTAGACTCGGTGGTTCAGCCTGTAAACCAGGCACTATGGGAGGCCAAAGTGAGTGAACTGCCTGAGCCCACAGGTTCGAGACCAGACCAGGCAACTTGGCGAGACCTCATCTCTACAATAAAATAAAATAAATTAGCCAGGCGTGGTAGCACGTACCTGTAATGCTGGCTACTTGGAAGCCTGAGGTGGAAGGATCACCAGAGGCCAGCAGGTCGATGCTGGGGTGGCCATGAATGTGCCACTGCACTCCAAACTGGGCAACAGAGTGAGACTTCAACTCAAAAAAAAAAAAAAGCAATGGACCAAATCAATGACTAACCATTACCATATAAAATTACAATCCTTTTCAGTATCATACAGTGTTAAATGGGAAAAGTTCAAGAAAATATTCTAGAGATATGCTCTCTTGTACAGATATTCCCATTGCAAATGTGTATCGAAGACAACCATAAAATTAAAATTTGCTTCTTTTTCGTATGTGATCATCTAAATCAGTGTTTAAAATTCTAATGCCTGACAGGTAAATATAAAGTATATACTTTGAATTCTCACTCAAAAAAACCTACATAAAGAGTCAGTTTCTAAGACATGAAGAATTTAAGATGGACTGGATATTATGACTCCAAAGAACTATTGTTAATTCTGTTAGGTGTGATATAAAGTATATACTTTGAATTCTCACTCAAAAAAACCTACATAAAGAGTCAGTTTCTAAGACATGAAGAATTTAAGATGGACTGGATATTATGACTCCAAAGAACTATTGTTAATTCTGTTAGGTGTGATAATGGCACAGGGGTCATGTGAAGTATACATAACTTGAAAGATACATACTAAAGTATGAAGAGGTGAAATGATATTTGCTTTAAAATATTGCAGTAGGCCAGGTGCAGTGGCTCAAGCCTGTAATCCCAGCACTTTGGGAGGCTGAAGCAAGAGGATTGCCTGAGCCCGCAGATCCGAAACCAGCTTGGGCAACATGGTGAGACCTCGTTTCCACAATAAAATTTAAAAATTAGCTGGACATGGTAGCACACGCCTGTAGTTCTGGCTACTTGGAAGGCTGAGGCAGAAGGATCACCAGAGCCCAGAAGGTTGACTCCAACTCAAACATATATATATATATATATTTGAGTGTATATAAATATATATATATTATATGTTGTTTTGGTGTAATGCATTGTGAGTCCTCATTTGACATAAAATTTGAGTGAGACTCCAACTCAAACAGATATATATGTGTGTATGTGTATGTGTGTATATATATATAGCAGCAAAGAAAAAATTCTTGATAATTACTGAAACTGGGCAATGAGTTTATGGAGATTCATGTATTATCTTTCAGAGTCTTGTGTGAATTTAAATTTTTTCAAACATTTAGAAACATTCTATCATCTAGACACACTCCTGAAGGACTCTATGACAGGTAGGAGAAATAATGTTCTTGTAAAATTTAAAAACTGAAGTGCAAAACTTATAAAAATAGACATTTTTAGATCTACGATTTTATACAGCTAATCAGAATTTTATCTAATTTAAGAAAATATTTTAATGAAGACCCTACTAAAGTTTTATGTCAAACGAGGACTCACATTACACCAAAACAACAAAATGCATATACCCAAAAGATGTATAAAAACAGGTGTGCTTTTCACACAAAAAAGGTATCCTTTTCTCTGCTCAAATGTTTGAAACTCACAATATACTCTTTCTATCTCACTTTTTGAAAATTATTTTCCTTCTATAGAAAAAACTTTATGATGAGAAGATAACTCAGCAACATGTCTGCAAATAATGCATAGCAATGACTTTAAAAAAGCTTCCAGCCAAAAAGACTAACAGGGAAAAATGAACATTTTCTAAAGCATTTTGGAATCTTATTCCAGCTACCTCCGTGCTAAGCTCTCTTTTTCCTCCCAAAATACGTCATTTAATTGTCTGTCAAAATAACTCTTGCCCATTCTACCTGATCACACTCCCAAGCAGCAGCTTTTCCTGGATTCACTTCTCAATGACAAGCTGTTCAGAGAGCACCTATCAGAACGAATATCATCATCTGCTCCTTTCTTTTTTTCCTTTCAGGATATACTGCTGTCCATCAGGAGAAGTAATTAATGGGTTTATTATGTATAAAAGCATAATCCCATCAGTTCGCTGTCTGGTTTGAATAGCTCATATCAGCTCTTCATTCATGCCAAGTACGCTCACCGTCCAGAGATATGAGAAAGCTGTATCTCCTTTTGGATTTTTCTCTCACTAATCACAAAACAGTACACCAGAACTACATGGTACAGAAGCACAGGGAGGACAGAAGAAGAAATCCCTTCATCCTCAACAGAAAGGAAGCTAATGGACTAAAAAGTTGGTAAAGAGAAGAACAAATAAGGAAAGCAAGAGAGTGCAAGAGAACATCCATGCTTCTAGCCCGGATGATGTTTTTAAAGCAGCTTGATTTGGAAACGTGTGTAATTCTGAAATATGGACAAGCAGAACTTTTCCAGAGGGTAAAATGTCTATAGAGACAACCAGGATTTCTCATTGCTGAAACATTCAATGAATTTTTAATAAGTTCTGAACACTCAAATTGTCTGTGGTCAGATTAACTGCTGTTACCAGATAAAGGCAAAACTCACCTTCTGGTTCTATAATCTTTTTCAAATGGAGTCTTCATCTATAGCATGCTGTCCTAACTAATGCTACAGGATTATCAAGAATACTGATATAAAGGCACTGCAAGAAATAAAACATACTGGAAAAAGAAAACACCAGAGGAAAGTAGAGAAGGCATTTCAGGTATTGAAGCTTACTCTTTTCCAACCAGAGTTTAAATTACTGAGCTTCAAACAAACCACTGCCAGGTAAGATTTAATTTTATAATGTTAATTCGTATCTTGACTACTGAAATTAAATGTGTTCATGCTGTGAATGAGCCAGTAGATTTGAATTTCATGTGATCCTCCCTTAAGCTTTATGCAGATTCAAGCTTTCCAAGGTAAACACTTGTTTTTACTTATGCTGCAGAAAAAGTCACTCATAACTAGATATAGCAAACAACAACAAAAAAATCCCATTCATTTTTCACTACATTTGCCCCATTTTTGTCTTCTTTTTTTTTAAATCCCAATTTTGTTTTGCTTAATAGCTTGAAAAAAATGCAGTGGAAAGAGACCTGAATACTGCATAACAGCCATTCACAGATGCTATTTACCAAACAAATTCAAATGAACTTTGTATCTCAGAGTACTCAGTAAAACAAATAAAAATTAATAAGCTTTATTAGTAAGTCTATCAATGCAAAAGAACAATGCTCAATGACTGATTTTTATTGTCAGAAAAAAAAAAAAAGCTGTGATGTCACTCTCATTCACACTGAAGAAAAAACAATCTCTAGTAAATCAAGGTATAACACTCAAGTATAATGGGCCTAATTCACCTGAAAGATACTAAGCATATTTTTATAACACACGAAATGAGGACATTTTTCTGACTTAACAACAAACAAAAAGATGTCTAGTGCCTTAAAACCTCAAAAGCATTAACTAAGAACAATGGTCCAAACTGTAAAATGCAAAGCACTAGTGAAGCCATCAAAGAATTTTAAAGGCTACAGTGTCTTTTAGAAATTCCCTAGAAATCACTCCATAACAAGAGTCCTAGAAAGACTATCTAGTATAAGAACAACAGAAAGGAACTGTCTGACCTCTTTCACCTAATATTTTAATTTCCTCCACAGACTTTTCACAGAAATTTCAACCATATTTGTTTCATATAAGTTTAACTGGAAAAGTTAGGTCCAAAGCATAATCTTATCATAAAGAAACCCTACAATAAATATTTCTATTATCTTAGAAAAGGAAATAATAAGAGCAAATCATATCTAACTATAGCGATCTTCTGATAATACAAGGAAAGTTATCAGAAGTACTTATTCAACACTGGTCTAAAAACATTCAAATTTGAAATTCTTGTCTTCCATTTCACTGAAGTCTTTCCTTTTTTCAAATTTTAATTGAGAGTAAATTACATGATTCCCTCCTTCACTCTTTTCAAGATAGTCTATAAATAACCTTAAATATCATAAATCTTTTGCAACTCAAGTCATTACAGAAATTCACCTGTCATCTTCCAGTACCAAAGGAAAGCAAAAATTTAAATACAAGTAGTAATTATATAAAATGCCAATTTGTTTTAGATGAAAATGTTTACTCAGAAATCTCAAAATACTTTGTCATGTCTAGTATATAAATGAAATTTTTTTTTTAACCTACTCTGAGTCTTACTTAAACCCTTAAGGATTCTTTTTATCTGTTATGATATCCTTATTATGATATTTTATAAACTGATATGCTTAAAAAATAGTACATATTTTAAGTGAAAAACACTAATCAATATTTCAAATCAAAATTAAAGGTTGTTTAAATAATGGGCAAAAATATGAGATTTATAACATTATAGTCAAACAATTTGCTTTCAATGAAAAGAATGAAAGAGGAAAAAAGATAACATTCCTTAAGTCTTCCAGATTTTATTTCCTCATTGTAATGTTAACAAAGACTCATGTCCCACTAATTTGGTAACTTTGCTTCTAATGACAATGGATGGGCAAATGGATACTACCTCCCAGTCTGATTTGATCCTTTCAGCATCAGTCCCAATGAATCTTCACTTTCTTTCCTATCTAAATCAAGGCTTTTCTTTATGATAATTCATTCTGAAAAATGACTCTTAAAGTTTCAATAACAGCTTTCAAAAAAAAGTATCCAATAGCAATTTGGAATAATCTACATTTTCTTCATGTAGAAAAAGTAAATTTTTTAAAATGCACTGAAAACTACACTTCAACTTCAGCATCTCATGGGTAGAAATGGATAAGGGATTTTATGCTAGTATCTGAAGATTTGGCTTCTTTATAGGAGACTTTCTCTGCTTTGGATAGATGTAACAAAAAGATTTTGAACATTCTTGGAAAGTGTTCAATGACTGCCTACTTGATTCTGTAATTTAAAATATATTTTATTCACACACATATAAAAGTACTACATTGGTAAAATAATATGATTGTGTATTATTGGTTTCTTTCTTAGAAATGGAACAAATATTTTGGCTACCATATCATATAATATGTATTACCATATCCTTAGATTCTGGTCATTTTTAATCATCCAAAAGCTATAAGCTTTTTATTTAACTATAAAAAATTAAAAATAGGTATATAGGTCAAAATAAAGCATATCTAATTAGTGTCTTTGTTGACAAAACAATATTAAAAAAAAGCCATTTTTGTCTGAAATAAAAATAACATGATTTTGTATATCAAATTAGAAGCATATCTAAAATTCAATTTTATATGCTTACATTTGACTTAAACAAGTTGACACTACATCATATTTTTTAATGCATTAAATGTGTATTTATTTGTATCTGATTATAACTTGAATCTTTTTAAAGAATTTTTTTCATTCCAGTGTAATGGCAACGTGTTTCAAGCTTAATTCAACAGGGTATTTCAACTAGCCAGTATATTTGCTCCTCATTATTGTTAATTTTCTTTATGAAGTGACCAAATTTGAATAAGGAAGTAGTTCATCATGAAGATTCATCTCCTAGCTTCTTCCTGCTGTGAGAGAATAATCTTTGGTTTGTGACATCACAATCTGTGACTGGGAAAGTGGCGCTGATATCAAATAGATGATTATATCCTTTCAGTGTGAACTAGCTGCAAAAGAGATGTGAGCACTATCATTTCAAGTCATATCACGGAGACACTAAAGAGATGCATGACAGGAACTGAGTTTAAAAAGATGCTTTTGTTGCTTGTCAGTTTTTCAGCATCAACTATGAAGATAAAAGTACTATCTCATAGTTTTCTTCATTAATAATTTTTAAAAGTGAGTAAACGTCATGTTATTTAAGTTCACAGATGATAAAATGGGAATGAGGAAAATATCAGTAAGCAAGCAGGCAATAATGAAAGAGGAACCTAGAGAATAGAGGAACAGATGCAAAATTGCACCTTGGTTCAAATAGAAATACTGATCTCCTCAAGAAATTGAGGAAAATTATCAATATACCACAAATGGGAAAGATAATGTCTCTGAATGACAGAGATCCCTACATATCAATTATGAAGTAGTCCCATGACATAGGTTAATTAATATGTTACAAATAAACTAGTATCGTAACATGAGGATGGGGAGTGGGCTCTTTTACATCCTTCTAAGAAAACATCAATTTGTTTAAAAATTAAAAAAAAAGATAGAAATCTCTTTAATTAGCAAAACTACTGTGTTCCATGAAAGTCTTCAACAAAAATTTGCAAAAAATAAGAGTTAGAGCTCAACAAAGGAAACAAGCACATACACATATATAGATCATCTTACCTCTTCTTATAATCTTTGTTTGAAACTGCAGTTGCCAATCGACAAAGCAGACCAACCAATCCTTCCACATTGAACACACATGCAACTTATCCTTTGGTTAGTAGCAAAACCCTGATTCAAAATATCAACCATTTGATACTTAACCTTCCTAGACTCACAGCCTATATAAAGAGCATGTGTTAAAAAAGAAAAAAAAAAAACTCCACTCATAATTACAAGTCAAGCTGACGTCTCATTATCTATAGTTACACAATTTGCTTGTGGTTAGAGAATTCTTAAAGCATTTATTCAATCCTGTGTTCTGGTTCATTTCTGAACATTCTGTATAATTCAAGAGTTGTATAACTCAAAATCCTGACATCCTCCATTTTTTTAATGTTAGGAATTATTAGCGAAATAACTCAAGAATCCAGACCAGTCAGAAAACATTACCATTTTCTTTTTTTTTTTTTTTGAGTTGGAGTGTCACTCTGTTACCCAGGCTGGAGTGAAGGGGCACACTCACAACTACTGCAGCCTTGACCTGCTGGGCTCAGATGATCCTCCTGCCTCAGTCTTCCAAGTAGCTGGGACTACAGGCACACACCACCACGCTAGACTAATTTTTAAATTTATTATAGAGATGAGGTCTCGCCAAGTTGCCTGGGCTGGTCTTGAACCTGTGAGCTCTGGCAATCCTCTCACCTTAGCCTCCCAAAGTGCTGGGATTATAGGCGTGAGCCCATGCCCAGCCAACATTACCACTTTCATAGACACATTGTTTGATATCACACTGCTGTCATCATCAAATCATGTGGGCTTTCTTGTGTACTGATTATCTAATATAGAAATGTGGCATGGGATAATGTGTTCTTTGAGTAGCAAGCCAGAGACAGTTTCCAGTTCAATTATCAAACAAAAATGCTTAGCTACTTATAAAACTTCTTGTACATAATCTAGATGTGCTGGTTGGCCCATAATCTAAATCTATCAGGTTTAGTATATAATATAGCATGACTCTAACACTTAATTTTTCATCAACTGCTTATCTTTCCTTCATATATGTTGCAAGAACACAGTCCTTCACATGCAGTAATTTCTGGGTAACTCGTGGTAATACCTACAGATGAGTTTTTCATGCCTAGAAACTTCCATAGCACTTTGATAATACCAGTTTTATAACACCTTGTTAGTTGCATTGAAATTCTACTTATATACTTCTCTTGGCTTGCATTCCTCATGGCTGAAGGCCTTAAGAATAAAACCACATCTTATGTATTTGTCTATACCTACGGTAAGCTCCCAACTAGTTAAAAAAATAAATGTGCTAAATGAATATAAGAATGTATCCTAATACATTCTGAAATACTATCTCAAACAGGCAGAAAATAATGATCTTAAAATGTACCTCAGCTTCATTTCACTTCACTCATAATGGGCTCAATTATAGAAAAGTCTCAATGGGAAGCCTTCTGGAAGTTATACTGAAATAATAGCTA